CCATCTTGACGTGAACCTCCCATGATTGAAGGAGAAGGAAGTGGCGAGAGTGATATCGATCGAGGATATGAAAATGGATGATTGTGAGGTTGTGGTGAACTTGGATACGATTGATTGTATGGTTGAAGTGTTGTAGGTAGAGCTTCGAGAGTTGGAAGATGTTCAAGAGTGGTTGGAGCTGTGTGTCTTTTCTTGAGGGTAGGACGAGGGTTTATATAGAGAAAAGAGGTAGATGAGAGTTTATTGTCGTTCATATTGGTCACGGTATGATTTTGCTCGTCTGGGTAGTTAAACATGTTACGATCCGATGGCATAAAGCGATTTCCAGTCTTGAGATATTGGTCAAAACACGATTCTCGATCGTTATGTCGTTCGTATCGTTATACGTATATATTTTATACGTCGTGAGGCTGGTTCGCCCGCGGTGCGACCCTTGGGTGTGCGTGATCAGGTGGGCAAGAACAGCTCGAAGTGGAAGAAGCAAAGTGAAGGGAGAAGCGGTCCGAGTTTGCAGAAGGGGTCTAAGGACCACTATGTCATTGAGTCAGATCTTGTTACCGCTATAGGTACTCTTGGCCAGCATGCAGTTCGCGGTATTCCAGTACTTGGCGGTATTGGTCCGACCGATCAGATGTTCGAGTGTCAAATTTCTCTCGTTGTCTCCCCCTGTAAATATCGATTGACAGTCGGGACCCGGACAAATGAGAGGCATCGAAAGTCGTGATGGAATAGTACCTAAGTAGGTGTTAGAGTATCAGCAGTAGTGGATAGTTGAGAGTGAGAGTATGATGCGAATCTGAATGCATCCCAGTCACCGTCAGCTCATCTTGACGACGAGAGACCTAATCTGGGTGGCGCCGGTCCGAGCAGAGGGCTTAGCTTAGCGTCAAACCCACATCAAGGGTGAAACATCCCCAAACAGGATATGGGCCTTCACCATCCAGCATGCCTATAAACTACCTCAATATGATTTCGCTCCGGTGCAAGGGCTTCGGATGGTAGGCGCACTGAATATTTTATCGACTTTTCGAAGTGGAAGTTTCGGGTTGTTGTGTCAGAAGTTGTTCATGGCGAGCAAAGCTAAACCCACCCCGAGGTTCGATCCCTCGACCCGAATCATAGGGTCTAAACGGATCTGGTTGGACAAGCGAGGGTGGTGCATATATGACCGTTACGATCTATTTTAATGGTAACATACTATGTACATGACAGACAAGTTTTGTGCGTCCTCGTGGTCGACGATCACGAATTACTTACAAAATCCAGTTTGCAATAAGAGACAGGCCAGGATCGAACTGGCGACCAACGGATGTTAGATGCTTTCCTTTTGAGGAGGAATTGCAATCCGCTACAACTACCACTGTGCTACTGTCTCGCAGTCAAAAGTCCAAAACTTCCTTATATACCGATTTTCGATACTCAACGATGAGGGCAGCACTCAGTCTTTGAGTATCTTTTCCCCCGTGTTCATCGTGACCTATGACCAGATGTCTCCACCCGAGCCGCCCCTCAGAGCTGAAGATTTCGAGTTTAATGAAGAAGATGAACACCCTCTCGCCTCCAACCCCACCCCAACTCCCCTCTTACCTTCTCGGTCACCATACCACCTCCCCGCTTCTGAACAACTCCGAGGAGTTGCTAACCGTATCATCTTCAGTAGATATTACATCCTGTTCTACTTTGTGATGATGAGTCTCAGTATGACCACTGTTATCTTGAGTCTGATAGCTACTCGTGAGTAACTCTCTCATATCTTGTCCTCATCTTTACCCATACCTCCTTGAAAACTCATTGCTGCGAAGGTGAAAGTGAGATGTTGTGGAAATCAAAAACTGACGTGCGTATAGATAGACGTCAATGTCCACCTTTAGTTTGGCACATTTTGGAGGTGATAGTGAATGGTTTGATGGTACTTGAAGTAGGAACGAGATGGACTGCTTATGGCAAAGTGAGTTGACTTTTCATTCATTCCTTTCTTCTCTTTCCGGACTTATGGTCGTATGTGATGAGGTGAAACCCTGAACCCAAACCCAGTGATCTGATGGACCAGAGGGATGTGGATGGTAAGATGTAAACTGATCATAGAAATATCCCATGACACTCCTCAATGTCATTGACCTCGCTTTGGTCTTATTCTGTTCTCTCACTTTGATCCTCGTCTTTTCTTCCCCTTGTTCCGAAGGGACTCGACGTGAGTATTTCGTCTCTCACAACGTTACGTCGCTCACGATATAAGAGGAAGAAGTTTTAGACACTATCCTACTGGTGATTAGGAATGCTGTTCAGTTCCTTCGTCTCGGTAATATCTTACGACGGTGAGTCTCCTCAAAACCATTCTCACCTCTCGTCCACCCGACCTATTCCGGTTCAGCGTCACGATTTCCCATGTAAAGACGGCAAACTGGTGTTACAAATCCACCCAGTAGTCAGACTACAGAAGATGAGATGAAATATTGATGATTAGATCCGGTCATTCTCTCTTTAACCCACCCAAACCAATCGATCTTTCTCAAGCTGCTCAAGCATCCCTCGCTCTCGATTTAGATCTAGATGATGACGAAGCTCAAGCTGAACGTCAATTACGTCGAACGCTAGTAGGTACGGGAAGTAGAAGAGGATATGAGCCTTTGTCTTCCGATGCCACAGAGCCTAGGAGAGGTGTGGGAGTGGGGAATAACGCTGGACGGGAGAACCTTTCTGAGGAAGATGCGGATGCTTGGGATAGGTTAGGTTGAGGTAGTGTAAGGGGGGGATGTATACCTTGTTTCTGCGGTTGATGTGGTCACATACTGTGCATGCCCTTTCAACTTCCCATACAACGTACCTTCTGCGAGCATGCTGCTTGTTACATGCTGAACCGGCCACGGATTCATTGGCCATTGACCCATTAAGCTTCATAGGAAGTACCTGGAAGTGCCACTAAGGTTGGGCATGTCACCAGTCGGGAGGTTCCTTAACTTTCCTTCGCTACTTTATCTCCCGGTATTCGTCGTACTTCTCAGAACTGCCAATCGGAGGTTGGAGGAAGAAGTATGACAAAAGAAGCTTGTCAAGGACTACGAGAAGAACTCGTATCATGCGTCCTTCGATCAGATTGGTACGTTCGACATCTTCTCTCCTTGAATCTCGATTTCTCGCTCATACTTTCTGTCTGACCATTCATCTTATCCCCCTGCATCTCCACCTCGATTCCAACGGATATGCACTTGCGATTAACCAAATACCTACTCTTTGAACCTATACCTTTCTCAAGTTTAGCTGCGAGATCGATCAATTTTGAAGCCGAAGTGAAACTGATAATTAGCGTACTGAAGATTGGGAAAACACCTGGAGAATGTATAAAAGAAAGAAATCTTCTTCCTGCTCAATGTCAACATCTCATCACTTCTTTCACGGATTGTAAGAAGGGTATGGTGAGTCTTTTCACTGTTTTTTTATCGTCCTCTTTGGATCTAGGCCTACTGTATCTTGTCTGATTCTGGGTTATCTTGGCTCAAAAGTGGAAGGCTTCACCTGTGGAGAAAACATCACTTGAAATATGGAGATTTTCTCTATACTTATTCGTTACTGGTCAAATTGGGACGAGAGGGATAGATGGATATAGTGATTATCAACCTGGAACAAGAGGTCCTGAAGAAGAATCATGACGCTAGGAGAGATAGCTAATGTTCAGCTCGACATGCGCAGAAGGTTTAGAGGTAATTACATATCGACAGATACTGCTACTTCCAGTGGCGATGGTCTCCTTGGGGTAGTTGATATTGCTCCAGGGGAGGAAAGATGACAAACGATAATCCATTGAATTGTCGACTTTCCCCTACCCCATATCTCACTATGCTATCATCGATCAAGGAGTCGCTTTGACGAGAAATGGAAAGAAAAATCTGTGACATGTTGTAATCACTATAGCATGACATATACTCTATACACTATGCCCGAAAGAATGATGACTGATGATACACTGATGCTGGGTACTTGTATTTATCCTTTCCTTTCCCTAATCCTGACGTGTCCTCCATTTTATAATACTCTAGTGGCTTCAATCGTCATCCACATTTTTGGCAGGGATGAAAAATGTCAAGACACCTCCTGACTCGATCATCTCCCCTTTCCGTCAGCTAGTCCTGGTCAAATAGAGGACTTACCGATATACACGTATACTATGAGACAATGTCGTCGACACAGACCTCTTCGTCAACTTGATGTTTGGTCAAGCGCAACAAACTCACAAGCGATAGCTTCTCCACCGACCTGATGACTGGTGAGAAATTTAAGCATACCACGGATTGATACGGTCACGTCTATCATTTCGTCTATAGGCCTGTCGTCTGTATCGTCTTGTGGTCAGTGATACGGCATCAAAGTCTGATGAGGTTATAGATGTATATCACACTGGGTAGATTATTCAGGAGAGTGGTTTGAATAGTACAAACAAATGACATACCTGGCAATGCGGGAATTTGAAGTTCTTTCCATGTGATTGTAAGATCCGCATTCCGACCCCTACCTCGAAGTTCCAACTTTCCATCCTACTCCATCAACATTTCATCCAAACAAAAAAGATCAGAAGTTGGACTCACTCGATTACCAGATACAGTCACATCGTCCGTGATGTGACCTAGACGATGAATGATATTTCGTAATTCCACAAGTTTGGGGAGAACCACATGAACCTTCATACCATTAGTTTACACAAACGTGCAATCAGAAGATACGTACCTCTGGAGGGGGACAAAGAGGTTCGTTGAGTTCATTCTGACGTTTGACCGATAAAACAACGACTTTGACATCTTGTATGATTGACATTTCTCTTCCAGCCGCTGTCTATAGATCAACATCGATTCTCCCCCTTCTCAGATCTCATCCACTCCAGTTGTTTCACCACTTATGGTAAAATGTAGATGGAGAGGAACAACTCACAGTGTTACGAATCTCAAAAGCCCATAATGCCTGTGTATCTCGTTTGTTGAGTTTGAGGTTGATTTCAGAATGCGTGAATGCATCGTGATTAGGACGTGACGAGTCGTTTATTTCCGCTGACCAATGAGCATCAACTTCTTCCATCATCGTGATTCACACGTTATCAATTCCAAACACAGGTCACGATGAAAAGGAATGTAAGACACACTCACGAGCACTCTTGAGAACTTTAAGAAACGCCTCCAAATGAATTTCCACCCATATTTCATTATTGTTATGACTTTCTATTCGATATGACTGAAACAATGTCTCCTATTTTCTCAACTTGACATATAATGTCTAACTTATATATGGGTGACCCACCACCTTTACCTGACTATATTGTCAGCTTTGGCCATGTACTAAATGCGTTGGAGCTCACGACCAAACTTGCACCCCATCACGACCTTCGTTTCCGGGAACGATAAAGTAGACTTTCTCGGGAGTCAGTCGAACTACGCATATTTTTGCTATGGCTCCGAGAGATTGTACGATTTCTGATATTCAGTGTAAGTCATACCACCCAGTACTGTACACCCCTGCCCCATATTCTCTTCTCACACCTTTCCTCCTTCGCTTCGCTGTACAATCGAGGTGCGGTGTATAAGGGGCTTCAAAGAACACACGAAACTCACTACGCAATAGAGATATATGCGTGATTGTCGTCCTGAATCGCATCGTCGACGCATGAGGATTGTCGTGAATAAGTAATTTAAGTAGTGCAGACCACAAAAGTCAAGGGCAAAGCTCAGTTCGGTGATCGTGATCACCTGACGGTGACTCTGTTTCCGTCGGAAGTTCTGATGACGTGGACTTTAAAGTGACTGCGCCATCCATGACCGACGCACCGCCCACTCCCCCCTCTTGCACCTGCTTCACATTCACTTCTTCTCTTTGTCTATTCAACCCAATCATCGTCATCACTATCTCATAAAAATCATTATCTGTCTGAGTTACTGACACTCATCAAACAACACCATGTGAGCTTTCATCCCGATTCCCCTTTCGATCCAAGTGGAAGGAGAGGTACAATGGAAGGATGAATCAGAAGGTCAATTAACGATCAGGTCTAGCGAACCATATGATCCTTACATCCCTTCTGGTTCTAAACCAACTGTTCCATCCTCAGGTCCTGCTCCTGTTGGAGAAAGAGGTGCACAGAGTAAAAATGTACGTTTCTTCACCTTTACCGTTTTTACGCGTCCTGGATGTGTTTTGACTACCCTTGTCGTCACCTGACGACGTGTACCACAGTCGTTGAGGGAAGAGTATGGAAGTTGAGAATACTGATATGATAGATTTCTGCGATCCAGAAACAGATTGATGATACCGTTAATGTGATGCATGATAATATTCAAAAGGTCGCAGAGAGGGGTGAACGATTGGATGCTTTACAGGATAAGACGGGTGGGTGTTTTCTTCTTGTCATTATCTTGTTTGACACATTTGTCATTTCAATAACACCTCTCACATGGATCTTGTTCTTCTACGTTGACCGTCGTGGAGAAAGTACCGATAGAGTTGTAGTAGATCAGACTCACTTGAACGAACATTTCGTGGGAGTCGATGGAAGGGATTCTTGGTATGGATGGTAATCGCCGACGATCTTGGGCAGCATGCGACTGGGAAAAGATGAAGGTTGACATGAAAGATACTCTGGCCGTCTCTGCTCAAGGTTTCCGTCGAGGTGCTAATCGCGTTCGTAAACAAATGTGGTCCGTCTTCTCTTCTTGACCCATTTCATTTAACCTCATCTCTAACACCCCACGTTTGGGAGTAGTGCGTCACACCCAACACGAGGCTCGCAATTGGGAACAATAACAACGACTGAAGTACAGGTGGAAAGACATGAAAATGCGTGTCATCATCATTATCGGTATTTGCGTGTTGATCGTCATCATCGTCGTGCCCATTGTCAAGGCGTAAGTGACTTTTCTTTCTCGAAATCTTTTCATCCTCACCGAATGGTCTGCCTCATTTCTGAGAACGGGATGAAACCCAATCAAGGGAACCCTGTCGAAGATTTCATCATAATTTCCGGACGGGAGTGGAGAGGTATATTTTGATACCCCATTTATGGTCGTAAGAAAAGTAAGCTGACGCACAGGATCAAGAACTAATCCCACTTTTACAAACCATCTCTTTCGTGTATATCATTTACCCGTTTTCACCCTTTTGTTATTTTCCATACGAGTAGTCATGCCACGGTTTTTGAATGTAGGGAACGATGTATGATACCTTTGATCCGACATATCCGATTTTTGTATACTGTACATGCTGTTTCTGCCGTCTATCACTTGTCATGTTTTATTCCGTTAATCGATCTCACCTCACGGAAAAATGCTGTGCTGCCATCTCTGCGTATGATCATAGTGAATTCTCAACCGTAATCCTACGGTGACAGTCCAGACTGAAGATAAGAAGGAAAAAAAATTAACTTCGCCTGCTGAGAGGGAAATACCCCGTAACTCTGGACGTATCATAAACTGCATGCAATTCGTAGCTTGAGTACTATTCCATCATTCGTAAACAACACCATCATCCATGTACCCGTTACCTCTTACAAACCTCAACCCTCAAACCTCAAACCTCAGACCTCAAACCTCACCCATCCATTTCGTCCAAGTTCATATGACCTCTTGACCATCTCGAACTCGATTGCCCTTCTCCTCCACTTCCATCCCCATCCCTCCGTCCCCGTCCATAATCCCTAGTAAAATCCCAACTGCGTCTCCGAGCATGGTCAGGTATCCAAACGTATCTCTCTTCTTGTGAATCCGTCAGTCCTCCGACTACCCCCATTCCTCGAGGAGAAGTATGAGAAATGTACAGACCATCAAGTCGATCTAAACTGTCGTTCATATATGGTGGAGGGGAAGCTCTAGGTGTGAGGGAAGAAATGGAAGAATCAGAGTCACGTCTTTCAATAGAGGAGCGATGAGAATGAAGTGCTTGAGCTTGTTGACTATTTAAATAAGATCGCAAGGCGGAGATTCCATGACCTGAGTAAACGCAGAAAGAGGCGGATTGTTGTTCGTTGAATTCCTACATGTCAGCGTCAAGGCTTTGCACTTTCGAGATGATTGATCAGGTCAGAGGAAAGCATGAGAGATGAGGTGGTCACAAATGATCGAGGGTTGTGGGTGTAATGAAATATGAATATGGCGTGGGGGTGAACCTGAACGTTTGGAAAGGGACGAAGACATCGGAGGCGAAGCAAAAGACCTACTTCTGGTGTTGGTCGACAAAATTGTTGTAAATGCTTTGATTTGAAAGCGTCCACTCCTGTCAAACTGAGATGTATCAAACCCGGTACACAATTGAGCAACACTGTGATTGCCTCTACGCTCAAATTTGAGCAATGGGACAAATGTACCCTCTCCAGAGTCTCGTGTCTTTCCACCAAAGCGTATACCGCCGCATCGGTCAAGTTGGTAACCTGTTCATCAGCAAGGAGATTTTTCATGACAGATGCTGTGCTTCGAGACTGGAGATAATGTAAAATTGGGTGGAAGAAATGATGGTGAACTGACCTTGACCAGACCGATCCTTCTAAGCTTAAGAAGATTGGTGGCGAGTTCAGAAACGCTCAAATCGGTCAAAGAAGAACAACATGCCAAATCGATGTATCTCAACCGTGAACATGCTCGGGCGAGTTTACCCATGGCCTCATCTGTGATTCTGATAGCGAATTAGCAAGTCGTTCTCCACCATGCGCACTAACACTCATAACTGGAAACACAAGCATGCACCGAAAGCGGATACGAAAGAGGACAAAGGACAGGAGACAGGGAATGAAGAAGGAAGGACAGAAGAGAGAACGAGGGAAGCAGAGAGGGGAAAATCTACTCACTGATTGCAATGCCCCAATTGAAGATGATGAAGATTACGTCCCAAATTGCATATACTCTCCACTGCCGCATCTGTCAGGTTTGTACATTTCGACAAGGTCAGATTGCGGATCCTCGGAGCAGACGCGACTAAATTCTTGACAGCATCGTCGCCTAGATGTATACAACCGGATAGATCGACCGCTCGAAGATAATCGAGATTCGAGACTAAAGGTCTATACAAACCCAAGGCAGACAACGGAACCTTCTGAGGCGGTGTAGGTGAATTATCTTCTTTATCTTGTTTCTTATGACTTGGAAGGATGTATGTATCGTGGATAGTCAATGTTTCCGCTGCTTTTTTGGAGTCTTCCTCATCCATTTCACGTAATTCTGGAAGATTTGGAAATGCTACGTCTGTGATGAGAGCGTTTCCTTTGAGTCTAACATCTCGAAGGTAAGGACAATTGATGAAGAGAGCGTAGACGGAGACGTTTCCAAGCTGTTCAACGTCGGAAAGATCGACTTCGAGTAAATGAGGGTTAAAATTGATGACAGGTACGAGGGAATCATCTGTAATTCTCAAACAACTCGGAACTCGGAACTAGTCATCAGTCTTTTATCCCTTTCTTTATCATACTTTCTTCCATGAGGGATTTTTCTTTTTCTTTTTCTTTTTGTGACAGAAAATGATAGATTGACAGGACTCACTCTTTTCAAATTACGTGCTCGTCTAGCAAAACTCCCAAGACCTAAATCCGTCATGGTCCTACATCCCGTCAAGTTGATTCCTTGTAAAACAGGACAATATTTTCCTAAATCGTGTAAAACTTGATCGTTTACTTGACACGTATCCGTGAAATCCACTGAAACCAACATGCGCATACCCCTGATCATCCGTCTCAAAGACCAAGAACTGATATGATCCGCTCGCATGAGATAAAGACGTTCGACTCTTTCGCATTTCTCAAAAGCTACCGCTACTTCGTCCACCACACTATCTCTGACTAAACTGAGATTGAGTCGACGGATTGCCTTGGCGTAAGGAAGCATAGGATTAGGGGAAGAAATGACGCGGGCTACAGAGATTATTTGTTCACTATCTCTGAAATTGGGTTTGAGCCATAAGAGTGGGAAAGCTGTGATGCACCATGTGCGGGATACTAACATGGCAGCTGCGAGATCGGCTTGTGAGGGGAGTTGATGGAATATCTGTGATTCAATTAGCGTCAATCCCACTCAATCGCTCAACATCCAAATGATATGAAGATATGCTGTAAATAGGGTCACATGGCTGATAAGGCGCAGATCGGAATGAATTGAAAGAATGGAGAATGATACAAAAGAAAGAGAAAAAAAAAGACTGACAGAAGATAAGGGGAGAGGGGAGAAGAACGAAGACCAGAATGTTCGTGCAGGAAATTGTGCAAAGAACAATACTCACATGAATCAATACCTCAGGTGGTAAAGTCCCTGCTAAACCTGAAGCTCCCCCGCGATCCACCTTTTTCCCTTCACCCTTCAACATCCATTTCTTGGCCTCTGCGCAATCTTTCAAAGCTATCGCCTCTTCATCCTCACCATCCGACACGGTAGTTACACTCGCCGCTGGACTCACACGACTCCATTGCTGTGGCCATCTGGAAGAACGAGGAGTTCGAATGCTATTGGCAGATACGTAGTCGGCTAAGGTATATTGTCCAGAACTAGTATGGGGGTGACGATTAGTGGAGATGATACGAACGGGATGAGGACGAGGATGAGGTTGTGGAGGTATGCTTGGTAAGTGATTAGAAGGTGGGGAAGACAATGGATCGGAGTGTGAACGAAGTCTATATGACATGGTGTCGTATATGTACCCACTCCGATGGAGAATTCCTCGGTTTCAGATTTGGATTCGAGGAGTATTTGAGATGCAGGGTGGAGGAGTAGTTGACTCGTAACGATTGAGTGGCGGTGGGATTACTACTTGAGTAGTGCTGATCGAGACCCGGAGCTACAGGCTGGATACTAGGTGACGACTTGACAAGTGATTGTTACCACAAGCAGCCGACTGTCAGATTATGGATCTAATTGATAGGGGAGATGGGGAGGTGAGGATACAGTATACGGGTGACAAGTCACGTTAGAGAAAGAGCGGAGAGGAGGAGTAGGGAGTGAGAGTGAAGAGCTGGTGAAAGCAAGGGGGTTTCCGATGTCAGGTTCACTTTGGAAGGAAAATCGTAAATGTCAGTCTCATCGATCGCCGATCGACCGAGTTCCATTCCAGAATTGTAAATGTTTCAATAATTGTTTCAGATAACTATGTACAATGCGAATTCTATACACTCGCTACTTTGGCATACGACGCGGGTTTGAACCTTCTCTGAACAGCCCTGATGACGTATAATGGTATGCTGGAGACTGCTACGATGATGGCGACTTTGTAAACGAATGCCAATGAAAGCACAAAGCTCAAGTCTGTCGTCAGCGTCGACTCATCTACGGGTTTCAAGAAACCCTCCCTTTCCACCTTGTACAAAATCACAATCTGAGTAGAAAGGTCGGACAATAGAAGAGGACGATCCAGTTTCAACAGCGGCAGTGTATATGATTGGGAGCACAAGGGGTCACAGGGTCGGTGTGAAGAAAAGTGGGGGGAATGAGATAGGAAAGGAAAAAAATTATCACTCACCGAAATATTCAGGAAGTACAGCCATAGAACCAAAATAAATCGCTGCAGTACCAAGTTCCGACAAGACCATATACGTATGCCAAGTGGTAATCTCCAATGAGACCATGATCAATTCATTGATGACCAACGCAGTGAAAGAAATAGAGACGATATGTAAGAATTCCGATTCGAATAGTAACAATGAAAGAAGCATGATAATTCCGCCTACATGTCAATAACTTCTACGATTCATATTCGTAAGTAGAAAATCACCTTGGTAAACAGAGATAGTCAACCATGTGAAGAAAGTTTTATAACTCAATGATCGGCCCTGGTGTAAGTTAAATCTCTAATAATCGACATGAGAAGAGAAACTTACCTTTGTGAGTTCTTTATACAACTCAGGATACAGAAGAGCTAAATCTTCGTTTACATCTCTATCCAGTACTAGTGAGAATACCGGTGCCATTGTATATACAGTAGCGTAACCGACTTGTAACCATCCTTGATATAGAGCGATAGCTGATTGGTCAACATGATTCCTCTTTCTACTACTACAAAATCTCACGGGGCTTATACATCCGTCGAAACAAGATATAACAGTGGAAAGACACACGGGAGAGTGTGTGTGTGAGTGAAGTTCAGAACAAAACTCACGAGCAAAGAAAAAGATAGAACTGAAAACTGCTTGAATGACAGCAATGATCAATCCTCTATGTATGACAAACTGGCTCAATTTAGCCGAACGTTTATACGAATTCCTTCCATGCCATAAAAGTAATTTTGTCAAATGAGAGAATTGTGTGATTGAAAAATCCGCTGCTAAAGATGCTTGTTTTCCTTCTTTTCCAACTATACCCACCCCAACATCTGCAGCTTGTATCATTGAAACATCGTTACCACCATCACCAATACAACATACTGTTCTTTTCGAAAATTCACGTATCAACCGAGCCACATCTGCTTTTTGAGTAGGGGAACATCGACAGGCTACTACGGTAGGTAATTGAGTAGCGAGAATGATGAACTCCGTTCGGAACCTATCGAGACATAACTAAACTATAAGTTCCGACGAAAAAGAAGAGGAAAGAGATGACTTACTTGAAGAGATTCGCCATCAATGACGAGACAACAATCCACTTTGGCAGATACGAAATCCAACATATCCCTGACTTGATCCGCTGACTTCACTATTGGGATCAGCGAATATGATAGATAAGTTGGTAAGAGATGACTGACGTTTTGAGACTTGATGGATATATTGATTTCTAGCTACTAATTTACTAGAAACAGCGATATTGGTAGCTGTTTCAATCTTATCACCAGTCAACATCCATATCTTCAATCCTGCATTTCGTAACAACTCCAATGTCGATTTCACATCTTCCTGTAATTTATCCTCAACTCCAGTTAACGCTAAAAGCTCCAAATCTACTTCTAAACATTCACTAATGACTTTTTGTATGGTCGTCGTTCTTTCTTCCCCAACAACCAACTGTGCTTGTTTGTATCGTTTGTCGAATTCGCTATACGCCTCTTCAGATAATCGCTTTCGAGCAAGAACCAAAGTTCTGAGACCTTCACGAGCCATGTTACCACATTCCTCATCCAACCAGTCATTCTTCTGCACCAATTTGGACATGATAACATCCGCACCTTTCTGTACGAACATAGTGTGACCTGTGTTCCTATCCCTGACGATGATACCCATTCGTTTTGATTCCGATGTGAAGGGGAAAACCGCAAGAATGTCGAATGTGAATACGTGACCGGATGAAGAACGTAAAGTCATACTTGTCCGATCTCGAGAAGTGAGAGTGAGCCCGACCGATTCTGTCCATCGTACAATGGCCACTTCGTCGGGAGAAGAAGCTTGGTAGGTGACACTACCATCATCATTAATGACAGGTGTGACATTATGACATGTAGCCAAAGCGATGACAGCGTCTCTGACACGGGAGGACATGTCTCTTCTACCACGGGTCATTCCAGTGGCGTAGGAACCTTTCCTGGGACCACCGGCACTTGTGTCACCGGTATCGTCACCAAATGTCGTGGAGAGGAGATTCGCTACTTCATCCATCGAGTCGAAGCCGAAGACGACGGTGCCCATATGAAGTTTCTTCAGCTCCATTTCTGGATGGTTAGCAGATTTCACTGCACAAGCAAGCGTGTTGACTGACCATTGCGAGTCAGAGTTCCCGTCTTGTCCGAAAGTAGGTATTCCACTCGACCAAGCTCTTCTGGAAGTGTGCTAGTACGCACTATGGTCTCGGGGATCTCATGGTCGGTCTGTATTTGATGTGCATATACCATTTTGCCCATGTCAAGGTTGACACGAAGACTGACTATCAGCACCTTCGAATAATCTTCGCCCAATATCAATGGACATGCCTGATAGGAATGATAGAAGAGAAAAGGATCAAAAACCGAAAGACGTAGATATAGAACTGTCCTCTGAAGCCGTTGAGAGCCACCAGAAAGACGGACAAAGCGAAGGTGACGGTGCACAGAATCTTTACATCAGTTGTTCTGCTAGCAGTAGGACGGCGAAGTGACGAACCTTGGCCATCTTATTCACCTCTTTCTCCAGAGTACCCATTTTCGTCTCTGGCTCGCTGGTATTGAGAACCGCTCGAGTCTCTTTACCAGTGTATACCACCAAACCGATAGCCGAACCAGCGGCCAAGACAGTATTGGCCCATAGGATATTCTCCACCGATAATGGTATTGATGTCTCCGTCTGCGGACCGGGGTCGGTTGAGTGAAGCGTCAAGACTCCATAGAAGGTATGGATGTCTTTGATTGGTGGGTCGGCTGCATGGTCAGCCATGATTTTATACACAGGGGATACACCCACCATAGAGACTTCCCTCCGCTGCGGACACACTTAACTCCCCCATCTTTTGAGTTTCACCCACCGCAACTTTCAACTTCCAATCCGTTTCCCCATCAAGTTGATCAGTCCGAATGAAACATGATCCTTCTTCTTCACTTGTGACGAGCAAGACCATATCTGCCGGTACACGTTGGTTCTTTTCCAACAATACCATATCTCCCACTTTGATAGATGAAGAAGGTATCGATCGTGTCTGTGGTCGGGAATGTGTATCGTCAGGAGACCGCAAAGATGATGAAACTGGAAGAAGAATGGCATAACGAGTGGAATTAGCCTCTCGATCTCGTAAGAATCGACAATAGTCATCATATGCTTCTTTACCCATTGTCACAGCTAAGACAAAAGCCAAGGGTGCGATGTAAGTCACGATATAACCTGAAAATCAATCAATTGAGTGGGGACTTAGATGAGACATACCGATTTTGAGAGCAGGAATGAATTGGGAGAGCGCAACGACAAGGAAATAAAAGTTGAAGAAGAATTTGAATTGTTCATAGAAGACTAATGGGAGGAATGTTAAGATTGTATATTTTTGATTGCGGACGACGTTTGGGGCGTAAGTAGTGCGGCCAGCTGATAATGAGTGATTTTACTCTTCAGTGAGAGTCGAGAAACACGTACGAGAAGGTTGAAGAGGTATCACCCTCGATTTATCTCTCGTCTTGGGAGGTTTTGAAGAAGGTGAAGTATAAGCCGTTTTGGCTGTATCCTTCCACGTCAGCCGAGGCGCACATTCATGATGAGATATGACAAGACCCACCCCAGCAGACAGTTCATCTCCTACTAGCCGCTCTCTCCCCATCGAGATACCCAGAAGAGCTTCTTGTTCTTGTCCTCCGTCGCTCAACCGCTTCTTACCCTTGCGTGAACTACCATAACCGTTGCCATTTGACCTTCTGCTCGTACTGGGACTGCCGAAGTCGTCATCTCCCTCGCCATCCGCCATCTTGGCCAGACCCAGCTGAGAGCTTCGATAAGATAAATTCTGCAATGGGAAGGCGTCAGTGCTTGACGTCCTTGACGGTGTGATCATCGAGTTTGGTCATGGGGGAAGAGTAATTTAGGCAGCGAAGTTGAGCGTAGTGATGGCGGTGAGTGTGAAGCGGTCAGTCACGTGGGGTATAGGATGGCGATCGCCGTTGAGATTTGCCGCCTATCAAAGATCTTTTGCCGGATTCATTCAGCGCTTTTCACCTTTTACCACAAACCATGTCATTCTCCTCACACCCAACAGTTTTGTCAGATCGGAAGGGCAAAGGACGCGAAGAAGCTCAAATGGCAGCTTTGGAAGAGGTCCACATCCCCTCTGAACCAGCGGGAGGTGTGACACGCTGTGTCTCCTCCGCTTCGACCAGCACCCCGACTTGGTGGCGGCGAAGTCGAGAACGTGCCAAAGCGGATAGGCAGAGTTGGGACTATAGTATGTTCATCAGATCTCTACTTGACCTGTATCTGCTCTGGAGGATCTTGAAATGTACTGACATCCAGTATGGAGCTCCGGGGTAGCGGGAGGAATAGCCGGTTGTGTGGTGAGTTCGCTCATGAGTATATGAAAACAAAGCTCATTTCAGGCAAAGACAGCTATAGCTCCATTGGATCGAGTCAAGATATTGTTTCAAACTTCCAACGTAGAATTTAGACAATACGCTGGAACTCATCTCGGTCTCATACATGCCGCTCGACGTATCTATCAAGAGTCAGGTGTACGAGGTTTGTTCAGAGGAAATTCTGCGACTTTGTTAAGAGTGTTTCCATATGCCGGAATCAAGTTTATGGCTTATGACGCTATAGAAGCTGTGAGTCTATTCACTTAAAATAAATTTATGTCTGCTGAATGATGAGGTTTTGATACGCACACCTGATGAACGTACACCTTTGCGATTTTTCACAGCCGGAGCAACCTCAGGTGAGTCACCCTCTCCTACCAATTCCGAATTTGGGTTGACACTCAGGTGTCACTTCCGTCCTTATCACGTATCCACTCGAATTGATTCGAGTACGACTAGCATATCAAACTACGACCAGAGGATCTTCTCTGAGAGAAGCCATCCGAACGATTCATCACGAAGCCGCTATTGCCCGTTCCGCCCCTCCCTCCTCTTCCATCTCAGCATTCACACGTTCGATACCTCTTTTCCCTTTCTATCGTGGATTCAGCATCACATTGCTCGGTATGATACCTTATGCCGGGGTATCATTTCTGACTTACGGCACGTTGAAACGTCATATATCAAGCTATATACCTTACTTCAAAGATAGACGCACGGCTTCAGACCTGGCTTGTGGAGCAGTGGCGGGTTTGTTAGGTCAAACTGCTAGTTATCCCGCCGAAATCGTCCGGAGACGTATGCAGGTTGGGGGGGAGGGTGGAAGACCGGGAGTGAGTTGGAGAGAAGCTGTAAGAGCGGTATATACCGCAAAAGGATGGAGGGGATTTTATGTTGGTTTGAGTATTGGGTATGTGAAAGTTGTGCCAATGAACGCGTGAGTTTCTCTTGTCATATCCAAAATCCTCTTGCATGTGAAACCTTTCCATACATGTTGTCAAGCTCTTATGTCACTTTTCTCTGTGGCGGACTGCCGGACCGACAAGGCAGGGTTCCCGGGGATCCGGGGGGGCGTCAAGTGGCGTAGGTGATTGGGCGTCTGAGCCGCTGGGTTGTTGGGTTGTGAGGTCGTTGGCTCATTGGGTCGTTGGGTTGTTGAGTTGTTGGACCATTGGGTTACTGAGTTTAGGATTGATTTAGATCATGTGTCAATATCACAAAAGCTGACAAAGAGAATTTCTTTTGCGACTTGGCAAATCATGAAGCGTCTCTTTGAGATATGACCCTGTGGTTGTCTTGTTCATTCCATAATCGATATCTTTCTGCACGACTACTATACCTACATATCCAGCATGATGTATAGCGACGAAGAAATGTCCTTCTCTCAATCGTCCAATCTTCCATATTTCGGAAGCTCATTATTTGACGTCATGACACTGAAACACCGGCACGCCATTTTCAACATGTTCACCATTTGAACCTTGACGACAAAAGCGCATTAAAGCCGTTCACTCGTTTACCCTTCCTTTCGCTCTTCTGATCGTACCCTTCTACCATAACTACCACCTAATTAATCACATGGTATAACATCTGACGCGCCACTCATAGCCTCTGGTCAATTGCCAACATCCTGCTTTACCGCTTTACTGGTTGTAAAGTTGACAAGGGGAGTGATAAAAAATCGGTCAAATTCAAATAAAGCCACCAAGCCTCAACATCTCTCATACTCATTATAAGTCTATATTGGCGTTTGAATACCTTGACAACCGTCATTGCTTCAATCTCTCGTTGCCAAGGGTTCAAAAAGAAAGACTGTCTTTAAATTCTTTGTTAACAACAAAAATACCCTTTCAAATCACAATTTCCCCCCCAACTCCCTTCGTTCTTTCCGCTTGCTGAAATCATCTTCACACTTCACTTTCCCTCACGTTTCAAGTTTGACATAATCGAACAATGCTACCTAAACGACATATCGAAGTTGTTTATATCCAAGATTCTGATTCTGAATCAGATGCTAAACCTTCTCCATCCATATACGAACCTGATGAACCGGAATACGAACCTGAACCTGAACGTAAACCGAAAGCGGAACACGGACAAGAGAAAAAACCAAAATTGAAATCTGAACCTGATCAAGTGGGAGGGTCAACACCAAAGAAAAGAAGATATTTGAAACCGAAAATTGTGAGTTTTGTCATCTCATCATCGTCTTCTTTCTCTTTCTCCCTTGGTGGTGTCGATGGATCGCGGTCCGATGATGAGAGTGGAATGTGAAGGAGGTATCGTCAGCCACTTTTGGTCGTTTATTTTCATCTAAGGGTGTGGTTACTTTTTGACGAGAATTTGCATGATTATTACGATTCACTCCTTGCATCAAAAATGTCCATCTTGATCATTATCATCGTGCCTCCCACAATCCAATGTCTATGCGATAATTCGTCATATCTATGTGAAATGGTGAATATGACTGTGGACGATTTTTGGAAATGTTCGACGATTGACGTGTGGGCGAGTGGTTGGAGATGGAAATCGCTGTGATGTGAGCGAGCGTGATAAATTGTGAAAGGATTGAAGTGGCAAGGAGTAGAGTACTCAACATTTCTCCAGTAACTACATTGACGGGAGCGCAGAGATTGAGTGTACGACCAAAGGACCACTCAGATCACTTCTCGCGACATCAGTGAAGAAGCGTGGAAAGCTTGAATGTGTAAATGAAAATGATGAACACTGACAATCAGCCTTGGTCGCCGGAAGAAGATGCAATCCTCAGTGAATTACTCGAAGAAGTTATAAAAACGTACATTTGGCCAAAAGTTAGAGAAGATGGGAGATTGACACATCGTTCAAGTTACGGATGTCAATATCATGCCAAGGTAAGTTTCTCCCCTTCCCATCTTTTTTATTGTCTCGAGTCCGACTTTGGAGAGAGATTTCGTTTCTTTTTTGTCTCTGTCTTACTGTTTTCTTTATCGTAAGTCATGTTCGTGCTAGTCGTGCACAATGAAGCGCATCAATATCGTGTGTATAAAGACCTGATATAAGTTCAAGTTGGACGCTTTGTAGGTCTGTATTCCGTGAAGTGAAAAGACTGTGATTTATGTGTGTACGATCTGGTGTATATCGAATCTCGGGTCTTGGACTTGGTTGAATGCTTCATAGTGATTCTTTACAAATCTACAAAGTTGAATCCGTCAAAGGATTCCTCTCAGCTCTCGCGTATATCTGTACAAATCCTTCGTCCCCCGGACTCTTCTGAATTTGAAGTTGAGTCGCCTCCAAAAAGATGACTTTGAATTGTTCGTTCGCTCACTCCATGTCGCTTGAAATTCAGGGTTGTAATTGAGCGTCGCTGTGTTATAGTCGAGCTGATTTACAGATGCTATTGAAGCAGGGAACGGGGAAGATGAATACTAGGTGATTTCTTTTGTATCGTAGTTTGATCATGTTCATACACGACATTCTTTGTACGTTTTACAAGTATGCAACGATGCAATGATGCATTGTGTGAATGAACAAAACGTCAGTCATACAAAGATTGAGATATCACTCATCCTAAAGTCTTCGTTCCAATTCCCCATTCTTCTCATGTGATGGATGTCCTTTCGAAAACCAAATTCAGCGACATTTAAAAAGTCCGTTCTTGTCCATGTAATCACATTTCCTAACCGAGTCCATCATCCGACAACATATCTTCGAAACTTAACATTCTCGCTTGTCTTCCATCCCTCCTTTCTTCACTTTCTCTCGAATCGCTCATTTCAGCACCTCGTCTATCCCGTCCTCGACTGGTGGAACTGTTCGTGTTCGTAGGTGTAAGAGGAGAAATAGGATTTGGTGAACCGAATATATGATCCCATGCACCTGGATGAAGGGCTCGGAAACTACTGAATGGGTCTGTAGTTCGAAATAAAGGTTCTGCGGAAGAAACTTCTGAAGGTGGTGATATTGCTGAAATCGGGAAACTAGGTCTACGAATGGATAATGAAGGGTAGAATGAAGAGAATGAATGTTGTCGGGAAACTGTTAACATTGATGGAGGAGCGGAAGGCATTGTTTTATGAATATGATGATTTTTCCTGAAAGAAGAAGGAGATTGTGGAGGTTGAGTGGAAGGAACAGAAGTACGACGTAAGAGAGGAGCAGCGGAAGTTGGTTCGGATGGACGACGAGAGTAATCGTAATCTCCATTAGGGATGATGATCTCCCTTTGTAAGTTCTGTCATATCAGTACAAGAAACACTTGAAGGCTTTGTAAACTCTTAAAGTATCAAGAACTGGGCTTTGGTCCTGGGACAAAACATGACAGTAGGTTAAGTCCTTGCGAAATACGGAATGTGGAGGGGGGATACGAAATGTGAATTCAAAACGCACGGTCCAATCTTCTACTCTATCAGACCCTCTTGGCCTCGGTTCACTACTCGTTCCTATCAAAGACCATCTCAACCACTCTTGTGATCTCTTCCACTGTCTTCGAATAGCTCTGCCAGGGTCCGAAGTGGCTTTTTGATGATCGTTCTCTGTCCAAGGGGCCCTCCAGGGTTTCTCGGACATTGGGCCGACCACAGCGGGTGACGACATCCTACGGGACAGTCCGCTGGCAAAGGGAGCGGGTTGAGAGAGGTAGTCAGTTTGTTGTATTGTCGGAAGGGTGATAGGTCGGGAATGTGCCATGGTTGAGGTTGGGTGAGTGAGGGAGAGGATGAGTGTCACTGTGTAGACTTTCGGGAGCTGTACGATCAGCTCATTACTGTATAAATTTCGAAGCGACCTTCGTACATCATTTCCTAGTGGTTGAGAACTCCATAGGATTAAAGGAAAGCAAAAGAGGAAAACTGGGGAGTTCAAACTTACAGGTAAGATAGGTAGATAACACATGGAAGTGGTCCTACTGGACTTGAACGTTAACAAGCCCGCAAGCTGCAAAGCAGACGCGGCCAAGCCACCGTGCAGAGTGATGAGCTGAGAGTGAGTTAGGTTTCTCAAGAGAAGACGATGTCAACTCACGATAACTCGAGTCACGACTTCTCTCATGAGACCACCTTGGGGTGCAAGTTTGCGTCTTGCCCACCAGAGCTCGCAACATAAGGCGGTAGAAAGTAACATGTCCACTGCGGTCGAAACGGCCAGAGTAATCATCTCGCTCGTGTCGAATCTGACGGTGAGCGTCTGATCTTTTCAGGTTCTCAGTTAGGGCTGGAGAGAGATGAGTGACAACTTCAAAGATAGCCCTGTGTAAGTCATTGAAGGGAAGACGAACGGGGGAAATGAGGTTATGAGAAGGGGAAAGACAGGACAGGTGACTTACTCGGAGGTATGTAGATCATACAGCCTTCCTGTAGTCCATACCAGAACACTACCTACTGAACCAGCAATGAAACTCATTAGAATCATACACCCCACCAGAACCACAAAGCTACGGGTCACGTAGGGCTTAGACAATCTCGGCCATAAGACATCTAAGGATGAGATGAAAAGTACCGTGCGACGGAGGAGGAAAGCCTGAGTGATAAGCGCTGGGAAAAGGCCGAGGAAGGGGGAGATGAAAAAGAGAGGAGTAGGTTTCATCAAAGCTTGTATATTGAGGAAGTTGTCTCCGAACATCTGTCCTTAGCATCGACCGTTTTCATGGCACTCTCATGATACAACAGAAGAGGTAAAGGGTATGGCAAAACGGGAATATTGGCCCAGATGTGCGTAGTCGAGTTTTGAATGACCCACCTGCCAGCCACGTACTAGATCCACAGTGGTCTGTAACAAGTTGATCACCAAGCTGCTTGACACCAGTGCAACACCCAGTCGATTTCCTGTATACCCTCCATGTCGATTGCTCACATCGGAAAAGTAATTGATGCTCAACACAAGCACCACACCCATTCCTGCTTCATGAGCTTGACACGTTTTACCTTATTGACGACGTACCAAAGCTCTCCAAGGCAAACCCGAGGAAGAATGGACCGGCTGTATATCAACGACATACCAGAAAGTAATCAGAAGTATGACTGACTGACTGGGGCGATTACCGAAGATAGGTCTTTATCGCTCATGGCGGCACTGATGGCCGCAGAAGCCATGATCCAGCAATGACTAGGTGTGTTCCCGTTTCTGACGGTACGATGTGCGTTTCTGCTTTGGTACTCTTCAAATCTCTCGGTGTTGGAAATATGGCCGGTTTCTGGTCCGGATACGTTCTCAAAGTGTTCTTTCTTGATTCCACATGGTTGTCTGTCACCCTACTATGAATCCACAAGATCCACGAGGGGTGAAAGTGAAGTAGATGGTCCTGGGGGCGCGTTGGGCCTTGAACCCAAATAGTAAAGCTGGAATTTTCGAGGGTCCAAACGCCGAGTGAGATGATGACTTGAGTGAACAAGTACGAAGTTTGGATTAGCGTCAATTTCTATCCTCCCAAAAGGAGCTAGTACCCGCGTGGTGAGGGGTGCGTTGTCAAGTTTGGTGAGATTAAAAAATTGAAATTTGATGTTTGAGGCTGTGGTCGTCAGAAGGAAGGGTTAAGGAGAGAAAGTTGTGAGAAATTGAAGAAAGTAGACAGTAGTCACCATGGAGAGTAGGTGTTGACACATGATACATTTAACAGCTCCCGATCTGAGGCTTTTAAGGGGAAGACAAAGACGAGTGAAGTGAAAACGCCATGACGACCGAAGAGGACGCCACTAATCGATCACCATCAGTCATTCATCAGATGGGAGATTCGAGGGACGTGTGAATGACCAAGAATCGGGCAAAATGAGAAAGAGAGATTACATGATCGTGTCGTGATGTGAGCTTGTGACCAAAAGCCGGACAACATGTGTTTGTGTGGATGAAAGGAACACATGATACGTGTGTCAATCGGGCACAGCTACCTCCGGGTTTTCCCCCCCTGACCCATGGGGGAAGAGATTTGGAATGATTGATTGTTTAGAGATGTTCCAGCGCTGGATTGAGGGATATGTACTCGGGAAAATGATTCATACATGTCTCTGATACGATCAATCAGTGGTTCCTTGGTACCAGAGTGCTTATGATCACCGCAAAATTGAAGGGATCTGAATGGTGGCTGTAGTGAGTGCCGTTCCGGGCGGGGAACCGCGTGGGCAAGCAACTAGCAGATATTTACTGGATGACAGACGGAATGGAACACCTGTGGGTATATGCGGACCGTGTTCTTCCTTACAGCCTTGTAGGATCTGGAGTCTAAATATCAGATGACGGGAGGTGTCCCACCTGAGCGGTGACTTAGGGGAGGAAGGGAGAGAGAGGGAAAGAAGGATCGGTCTTGTCGGTCGAAAAGTTGTGGCCGATTAAGTCCGTCAGTTTCTTGTACTAACCGGTAATGACTTTAACCGAAGGTGACACCTTATATCTCTTCCACTCACTGCGGTTCATCTGTTCCCTCTCTCATAAGTAATATAAGTCGAATCTGAAAGATAGATTATCAACAAAAATGTCAGAACAGTCAGTATTCAACGCTGAAGTGAAAGCTGTCGAGGCGTTTCAGAAGGTGACTATCACTTCTCTTCTTCCCTTCCCTTCTATTTGAGAACATCGTAAACCCTACTTTGGCATGGGGAAGTCGCTGAAGAACAGCAACCACGTTTCTCACGTACCATTCGACCTTACTCTGCCGCTGATGTGGTGTCGAAACGCGGTACCCTGCCAATCTCTTATCCGTCCGATGTGATGGCCAAGAAGTTGTTCAAAATCCTTGAAGCCAAGGCGAGAGGAGAAGGAGGAGGATGTAGTATCACATACGGAGCGTCAGTGTTCCCGTTTATGATGAGAGTAAGATACTGATAATGTAGGCTGGATCCTGTACAATTGACTCAGATGGCAAAGCATCTGGAAACGGTCTACGTATCCGGTTGGCAATGTTCTTCCACTGCTTCGAGTTCTCTCGAACCTGGTCCAGATTTAGCCGGTAAGTAGATTTTCTTCCCTTCCACCCTCTCACCGGTATACGTTACATCTCCGGTATCAGATGATATGATAATCTCGCTGGGATATTGATGATCAGATTACCCGTCAAATACCGTTCCCAACAAAGTGGCCCAACTGTTCACCGCTCAACTGTTCCATGATCGAAAACAACGATGGACCAGATCGCAAGCTTTGCAACAAGGCGGAGGAGGTATAGACAAGCTGGGGAGATCGATCGACTACCTACGGCCTATAGTCGCCGATGCTGATACCGGTCATGGAGGTCTCACCGCGGTGATGAAACTTACAAAGATGATGGTTGAAGCTGGAGCGGCGGGTATTCATATCGAAGATCAAGCTCCGGGAACGAAGAAGTGTGGACATATGGCTGGTAAAGTGAGTGCATTGCTGTCATTCCACCTACTTTTCGTCATCTTTCGACCCCACCATCAGATGGTACACCTACTCGCACCCTTCAGCTATGAAGGAGTAGTAAGGTCAGATTATCATAAGGACTCGAAGGAAACTCTGAGGGATTGAGGTGATGGACTCCAACTAATCTCCACAGGTCCTCGTGCCCATCTCGGAACACATCAATCGTCTGGTCGCCATGCGTTTCCAATGCGACATTATGGGAACTACCAATCTCGTCGTAGCACGTACAGACTCCGAAGCCGCTACTCTCATAACATCCAACATTGATCCCCGTGACCACTCCTTCATTCTAGGCTCTACCAACCCATCTCTACCTCCTTTAGTCGACATCATGTTGTCCGCTGAAAGCTCTGGCAAATCCGGCGCGGCACTCCAAAATGTAGAAAGTGACTGGGTTCGTCAAGCCAATCTTTCCCTTTGGCCTGAAACACTTGCCAAAGCTCTCCAGAACGAAGGTGTATCATCAAATAAGATAGATACGTTCTTGAAAGAAGTAGAGAAGAAACATTCTTCTCATTCTGCCGCATTGGAATTAGCTCAAAAATCATATGAATTGAAGAAAATACCTTATTGGTCTTGGGATACTCCTAGGACTAGAGAAGGTTATTATAGGTATCAAGGTGGAACTCAATGTGCTATCAATCGTGCGGTAGCTTTCGCTCCTTATGCCGATTTGTTATGGATGGAAACGAAGTCTCCAATCTACGCTCAAGCCAAGGAATTTGCAGAGGGTGTACATAAAGAGAAACCTGGACAATGGTTGGCATATAATTTGAGTCCAAGTTTCAATTGGGATGCGGCTGGTTTGGGGGAGAGAGAGATGAAAGATTATGTTTGGGCTTTGGGGAAATTAGGTTTTGTTTTCCAGTTCATAACTGTATGTGTTTTCTACTCCTCCTTATCTCTTCCACCCATTCTTGTATTTTCTTCCCTTCTTCTCCCTCTCTTTCAACCCCCCACTCTCCATCCCATCGCTTTCCATTCTCTTGATCTGATCACACTTTTCTGTCTTTTATTGGATCCATCATCTTTGTTCGAGCCCTCCCTACCTCTTTCTTCTTCTTCAAATCCCACATCTTCCCTGTTCTGACTTATGCGTGTCATTTCATGTCATTAGGTCGAGGAAGAAAAAAGGGGTTGGAAAGTGGAGCTATCATTAACATACCAGCTCGCAGGACTTCATTCCAACGCTTATATCAACGACGCATTCGCATCAGCCTTTGCAAAAGAAGGTATGAAAGCATATGTCGAATTGATTCAAAGAAAAGAACGTGAGATAGGTTGTGATGTCCTCACTCATCAAAAATGGTCTGGAGCGGATTACGCAGATTCTTTAATGATGACTGTCACTGGGGGAATGTGAGTTTTGTTATTACCTCTGACTTCTTCCTCCTTTCAGTCTCTCTCATCAGTGACTTTGCGCTCCTCGTCTCCCTCCCTCGGCTCATTTCTTTATCCATGCTCTCTTATATCGTTAAGATAGACAGTCGGGACATTCGGCGTGAGTAGAGTCAACCAAACAGAGGTTAGGAACGGAACGGAACAGAAAGGATTGCGAGGGAAAGAACGAAACTGACAAGATAGTTCTTCCACCGCCGCTATGGGAGAAGGAGTGACCGAAGATCAATTCGGGGACAAGGGAACGAAACATAAAATGTGATATGAGATTTGAGGACCCCATTTGCTTTGGAGGGTTGTGTGTTCTTATGTATGTCTACATGTCAATATGTGATTGTTCCGTTTGGAGAATTTTTATGATGGGTGTGCTATGTATGTGTTTGTCAAACGTATTCGTGTTAGTTAATGTGGTCATGCAATTTCTCAGGATCCGTCCTGTTTGTCAACTTCTTCTGGCTTGTATCCATAATTCATGAGATTATGTGTACCTGATGGTACTTATGGTCAAGTCAGACATATATCAGCAGATGCAAAGCACCAAACCTGTTGGATACACTGCGTACAACTGTATGTGTATTGGTACAACGTTAATTACAACGCTAATACAGTACCCAACTGGGTGAATCATGTATGCAGCGCCAAACCCGGTGAGACATCATCTCGATCACCAATAACACCGACTATGACTGATATATCTGCCAGTCAGTGAGTCGTCTTTTCACAATGATTTTCAATAACGAAATCAACTACCCGGTAAACGATTAGGCCGGTGGAGACCACTTGACGGCAAAGGTACGGAACAGATATACAAGAAGTCGAGGATGTGGAAATAGAGACAAAGGCTAGGAGGAACTTATGATATTGATGATATCAAAGAGGGGCGAATGAGGAGGATAACATGAGAGTAATACTGAGAGGAAGGCAGACTTACCATCCCTTTTACCACCTACAAAATCTATACCTTCTTCTTTTGCTCGATGCATAAAAGGTGTATTGGCAGTAGTTTGTCCACTAACGTTCCTAGCTCTTTGCGCTAGTGCTTCTGATACTTTTTGAGGAGAGAATGGAGGAAGTGAATTAGAAGTTGTAGGTGGAGTAGAAGGTGGAGTGTGAAGGTTGATGAAATGAGGAAGATTTTGAAGGGGTGGAGCGAATTCAGAGAGGACTTCAAGGATTTCATCATCGAACTAAGATCAGAATTCTTTTTCACATCATCACCTCCGGGTTTTTTTTCCATATATGAAGGAAAAGGTTTCCTCCTTGAGAGCGGTGATACAAAGATTGGGGTTGGTAAGTGGATCGGAAACCAATGCTTGACGATACGAACTGAAAGAGTGTCATGTCTCAGGTGATGTGAAGGGAAAGAGAAGCTGAGACGTCAAGAGGGGAGAACAACCCACCAAGTTATCAGTCAATCCATCACTAGCTAAAATCACCACATCTCCTCTATCCACACCCACATCATATCTCTTTGCATCCTTCATTGGTTCGTCCCTACTGTGTGTTCCAAGCTGCATGGGGAAATTGAAAGAATGTTGCATTTCCACCGTTCGAAATACGACTTGACCATTTCGAATAAGCAACAAAGCGCAATCCCCGACGTTCGCTATGAGTAATGTGGAATGATAAAGTAGTGCCAGTAGACAAGTGGAGGAACCGTGTATTCCCTATTGTATCAACTCCGAGTCATCAAACGAGGTTGAGGAAGTCGATGAAAGATGAGACTCACTTCTTGTAATGAACAAGCTAAACATTTTTCAAATCCTTTTTGCATGATTTCCACCGGACTTAAAGGTCTTCTTCTTCTTCTCTCGGCCTTTAACCCTGTCTTTTCTTTCTCACTTGCTTCTCCTTCCTTCCAACCATCTCTTGCCCAAGCATGAGGTCCATCATCTACTTCCACCGCTTCCAAACCCTTTTTCTCATCGGCTTTCATCATGTAATCTTCCCTTGACGCCCACCAGGAATCCAATTCTCCTTCACAAAAATGAGTCAACAGTCTCGACCATCGACTTGCATCCGCTCCACCTCTATTTGATTTCGCCCAGGAACCAACTCCGTCTGCAATACACATCCCATCTAATCGCGTGAAGAACGCATCTTCCCCTACGCCTATTGATCGAAGAGAAGTGGGTGGCGATATATCAGGTAAAGGAAATGATCTGATTCGACGAGGTAATGGTGGTGGTGGTTTTCCATAAGAAGAAGGAGGTGTTCTTTCTTTTGGTATACCAGCTGAACCCAAGTGAAAAATCAAAGAATTGGAATTCAATCCTAAAGTTCCAGAATTCGTATCGGTGGAAGGTTGAGATAAATGTAGATCGTCATAATGATAAGAAGAGAAAGAAGGATGATTCGTAAGTTGAAAAGAAGGTGAATCGGAAGTATCTGATAATGGTGTAACACTGAGAACTGTGTGATTACTTGAAGGACGAGTTTTAACAGTTTGAGGAGGTTGAGCTTGTTCTTGTCCTGGTGTTGGTGAAGAAGACGGAGAAGGTGGAGGAGGTGGAGATGAATAAAATTGATCTTGATTTCGACTGAAATTAGAAGGGAAATTTAATTCCTCTAATGTTAAAAGAGATGAAGGTAATGGTGGAGTGAAAATGTTGGAAGTGAAAGGTGAAATTTCGACAGCTGCTCGATTAGAAGAAGTTGGTGTCGTATATCTTCTCAAAGCGTTTTTGGACAATGTTTTATGTCTGTTTTTATGAATGATATAAGGTGAAACGATAGGTCCTACTGAAGAGATTTCTTTGGTGAGACGAGAAAAGGAAAGTGTATTAAGATCCCAAGATGGTAATAAAGATAAATAAGCGTTTGAAGATATGAGTGGAGAAAATGTATTTCTTCGACTTGGTCCAGCATAACCTGCATGGCTAGTATTTGAATTGATGATACCAGTAGTATTCGTAGTGGTTATATCGAATGGAAGAGGTTGAAGTGACGAAGGTTTTGGTTGTCGACTGGATCCAGATGATCCAGGTTCATCAGGTAAAGGGAAGGACGGAGGAGGTCCAGGAAGAATAAAAGGTTGATTTTGATGTTGATAGGTAGAAACAATAGGAGCGAGAGGAAGTATTAGTGGAGATGAAGTTATGGAAGATGAAGGATGATGATGAGCGAGGGTACGAACGATCCCTTTGCCTAATCCTGGTTTGGGTTTGGACATCTTGACTTTTCGGTATCACTCAAAAGTTTCCACAAACGGCGTTTCGAAGTATCTAAGTTTGCTCACCACCCACGAGCCACGAGTTGACGATGAGTGGATGACGAGATATCAGGTGAAAGAGTAGGGTAAAATGACACGGGACAAGGGACACGAGTGTGGTGAAGATTTGATCGCCACCCTTTCCTCGGTCTCTTGTTACCCACTCGTATGACCGGATGTGTCTATCGATCGAGGCTGTTGGAAGGAGTGGGAGCAGAGATCATGCTTGTATCTATGATGGATAGGACAGAGACCGCCAAACAGGGGAGAGAAGTGATCGATGTTGTGCAAGAAGAGGGGGTAAGTAGCCGAAGGGATTCTCTTGCATCTTTCGGAATAAGCCGGAGCGGAATCAAATTGACTTGGCTACGAGCGAATCACAAAGGAGACTTTGTCAAACCTCTCATATGCAGCTTTGGTCTTCCAAAATGACAAAGGGCTACGCACAGTAGCGTCCAACATGTTCATGGCTATGCGAGGAGACTTCTCAGATGATAGAACCCGAAATGTTCATCATTGGGTATGGGAGAAGCACATCAAAGACCACACAACAAGATGCAAATGCCATGTATGTACACGAATCATAAACTTACAAACCCCCAAATCATGCGTGTTTACTCTCTCAAGGATTCATCCACTTTAATCTTAAACCATCAAGCCCTATCTCATCAGTAATCCTAACAAAGAGTATCAAGATCCCACTTACATCGAAGATACAACAAATCCGCCAACGGACTTCTCTCCTTTACCAAATCCTCCACCCTTTCAGGCTCTTCGCTCGTACGATCCGGGTCCACCACCCTGATCGTGTGCGGGATTGAAGGTTTACTCTTAGGAGCCACTATACCAGCCATGGACATGTTACGTATATGTGAATGTACGATATCGTTTCTTCCTCATCAGCTGAGGATTTTGAGGTGGTATAGACTTACGATCTGATGCCTCCGAGAATATCCATCACCAGGCGATAAGCCATCTCGGGGTTGCTCTGACCCAAGTCGGAAAACCCCTTGCGGATAAGGTTGACAGCTTCGGTAGTGGCTGCATCATGCTCCCCAGAGGCCGCCTGATCGGTCAGCAAAAGAATTTTTCCGCTGATGCAATGGGACTATGATTGATGGAGGTAGACTGACTGAATCAAGGACACCGACCACTACCTCCTCGACCAAAGCCTGGCCAGCTCTTCCTCGGGCTGTCATGGGCCGGCGAGGTTTTTGAGAGACCTCAGTCGTTACGGAAGGTGTTGATGAAGGAGCACGACGAACAGAACCGGTCCCAATGTATTCGTTCGAAAGACGCTGTGAGCCAGCCGCATCAACTTTCTTGACTGGCCGGACTGTCGAGAAGCTTCCATAGTCAGAGATGTCATATCGTCAGAAAGAGACACTCACCCATCCCCCACATCACCTTCCTTGACAACTGTACCTCGGCCTTGATCATGTCTCTCCCTCCACGTGGATCTACCACTGCTACCACCTGAAGATTTCAGATCTACAGTTTCGGAATTTGGTGTTTGAGGTGATGTACCAAATGACGCTGTGGCGTTGGACGATGATCGCTCAAGCGAGGGCAGAGACAAGTTCGAGCCCTACACGGGATTAGCTGGTGTAAGGCAAGAAACGACAAATAGCTCACATGAAGTGTTGCAGCTTCCAAGATACTCCTGGCCTGATCAAACTCGTCCTCTTCATTTAGATCCCACTCATCATCCTCCATCTCGGCCAGATCCAGTGTCACCGGGACACCTCTGACAGTACCTCTTATCGTTTCGTCAAAGTTCCATTCGCTTCGCATTGTTTCGTTGCCAATCATTGTCGTGCCATCGTGACCTGCCGCTTGTCTCGTGAGAGTCTGACTGATGGTCGTCGATTTGCGGGGCGAATTAGCTTTATACACTTGATATCTTTCGACTAATTTGGCGAGGTGGGACGTTCTTGGTGCCGAACGGATGAATTTATGTTGCAATAGCTCTTTTGCTGTGGCTCTCTATCGCGTCAATGAGACATCGTACTCCCTGAAGTGGGATCACCCACGTCTTTTGGATCTTTCTGAAGACATGTTGCAATGAAGTCCATAAAATCTTCACTCCACCCTTCCTGAGGATCCAGCCTCGGCGCTTTGGCCTTGGGAATGAGAAACAAAACACGCATAGGATGATACTCCGCCAACGGAGGTTCACCCTTGGCCATCTCAATAGCTGTGATACCAAGGGACCAGATATCCGCTCGGACGTCGTAGCCCGCTTGACGGATCACCTCGGGGGCCATCCAAAAGGGAGTTCCAACAAATGTATGTCTTTGGGATTTATGAGAGGAAAGTTGAGCTGCAACTCCAAAATCGGCTTTACTCATCAGCCACAGATCCGTTAAACACAATAAGACTCACCAAGCTTGACTTCACCGGTGGAGCTAAGGAGTACATTGGCCGCTTTAATATCACGATGAATCTTCCCTTCTGAGTGCAGGTAGTCAAGACCGAGTAGGAGTTCACGACAGATGGCCGCTATTTGCGGTTCTGTGAATACACCAGGTTTTAGCTGTTGGACCGTAAGCAGTATCTCGTGTGACACTTGAATGATTCACCAAGTCAAGACAGCTTCCTCCGGCCAGATACTCCATAACGATCCACAATCTCCATCCTCGCACAAAGCTACCGTAGTACTTTGTGATGTGGGATGACGAGCATGTCGACAGATGTGCAATCTCAGCCTGAATCTCGGTGATATCATCGTCGGATGATTCCAGATCTGGAAAGGGTCAGCAACATGGGAGGCTGTAGTAGAATATGACATACCAATCATCTTAATGGCGACTATTTGTCCGGTCTCATTGTGAGAACTGACATCAGTTGAAGAAGTGCACGAAATAAGAAGCTCACGCTTTCCAAACGGTCCCGAAGCTACCAGTGCCAAGTTTCTCCAACAAAGTATACGCCGTTGCAGGGTCGGCCAGTGAAGCCTCCTGCGAAGGCATGTCTACGTGGTGGCCTCCAGGTCTAAAGGGGGAGGAAAAAGATATCAAGTGGTGAAGAGACACAAGACTGAGAAGAGGTCTAAAAGATCAGCCTGACAGAACAATTTGGGATGGTCCGAAAGGACAGATGAGTGTCGTTTAACCGGGTCTTAGATTGAAGGACGTCAAAAACTTACATCACCAAATATTAAACTTGTCTGAGGGCAGTGGCGAAGACGCGTTTCGAGAGAGAAGAGGAATGATGACGTCTGTTTTTTTGAGGATTAGACCGGCGTGGAAGCTGAACATCAGCCCAGAATATCAACACTGGTTACATGCATTACGTCGGAGGTCTCGGAGGATTCAACCGACTTGATTTGAGTGGGCAGCTGCAGCCGACAGGAGAGGAAGATGGGAAGGGGATCATTCTCCGTCCCTCGTTGATGGAAGAGTCAAACATTTGTTCACGTAACGTTACTCACCTTCAGACCGGAATAAGACAGTCGCAGTGTTCGCCCGCTCTGAAATTCCCCTATCGGCCAAGCAGAATCAAAGAATGTTCCGTATTCGAAGTAAGAGAAGAGAAGAAAAGACCAAAGTCGGTTGACAAAGTTGAAAAGATCAAGATCAAAGCGGAATCTGCCCTTGATCAGCTGATCCCCTACGTCATCGTCTGCACCGTTTTTGACTCACCATAACCTCATGATAGACATCCACTGAATAAGATTCTTATTGTTCGTTGATCATAGGAAAGACTGAAAGATGAGACAAAGGAAGTCGATTGATAGCTGTGCTGACACTTTCCGTTCTATAGTCTTGTCGGAAGAACCCCTGAAAATCAAAAAAAAAACCCCAAAGTGGCAATTGTGGCACTTGACCCAATGTGGCGAATTTCTCAAAATCGCGATTTGGACCGTGCGACCAAGGGAACGCGAGAACATGAGATCGTGAGATCGTGCGACCACGGCATCGATCTTTGATCCGTCCGAAGAAGCTCAATAAGTGTCGAAGCTCGAATGTAAGGAAGGCGTGAGAATCAAGATGATCGGAGAGAAGTCCTCGGGGAGGCGGTACGAGGCGATGACCACTCCTTATATCGAAGTGGAGGACTGTTCGGGACGGCCGAACCGCCGTTAGAATTACCCCTTCCGTCGAATATTTCTCCGTTCAACTTATCCTCTGAACTTTATTCGATCGTCTCTGGTTTTATGCGTGTGAGTGGAATGTGATAAGTATAGAGACATGTAGAATTGATGCATGCTCTTTTTCCCCTCTGTATTACCATCTAATTATCAGCAAACATCCCCTGAGGGGGACTATCACCACATGTACATATGAGTCGGCCCACGGAACTGAAGAGTGCTGTATGGTATTGGAATATTTGTTTCACATTAGATCTTGAAGGACGTTTTTGCCAGGTGAGAGTTATGTAAGTCAACTTGTAGATATTGAAGACAATTGAATCACTCCGCACGTACATTGAAAGATGACGATGAAGATCCTTCTAGCCTTCATTCTATATTCAAGAACGTACCATCCCACGACTTCTGAGAAACCCCCACCACCCTAGATATGTTCACATTTTCTTTCACACATTTTATGGCCCATGATAACGGCTAGATCAATCCGTGAGAAGTTTTCTCAACGGTGAACTACAATCCCTTCTCAGAAGGTCTGAGATCCTACCAACACAGCCCCGCGGGGAAACGTATATGAAATTTCTCTCACCCTCCGTTCACGCGGAAATGGCGGTGCGGGCCGTTGACCTCCACACTTGAAAACTATATCAACTTTCAGGGTAGGACCCATCTCTTCACTCTTCCCAAGTTGTCAACTAACTATGAAAATCCCCGCCCCCACCCTCACCGCCACAACTTTGGCTCTATTGTTGAGTGCTGCCTCGTCTTCCTCCTCGCCTCCCTCTCTGGCTCTATCTCCCTCCGTCTCGAGGACGTCCAGTCCCTTGGATGCTACCATCACCCACAAGCCTCATGTCCTTGCTGCTACATGCGTGGATATATACCCCAAAACCCCTGTCATACAAGATCAAGGTCAATTAACAGTAGTGACGGGTGCAGATGGTAAGACCTCGAGCATGATTGTTGACGTGTCCTCCATGTTAACGCTTATAATTAGATGATAATACAGAGGGGAAAAAGAGCATGCATCAATTCTACATGTCTCTATACTTATCACATTCCACTCACACGCATAAAACCAGAGACGATCGAATAAAGTTCAGAGGATAAGTTGAACGGAGAAATATTCGACGGAAGGGGTAATTCTAACGGCGGTTCGGCCGTCCCGGCCCGATTCTATCGGCTAACACTCCCCCACGGGACAATGCACGACTCTGCAGTAGTCCCGGACGATTTATCGATGGCGACGGCGAGGTTTGTGATGATGTAGAAGGTAGTAATGATGAAATATTGAGTGTTATGTGTGTGGTAGTAGTGGTAGGTGAAATCGTGAAATGAATTTCTGTGGGGCCCCCCGCGGGGCTCCGCTCTGACACGTGGCTACCACTCACTACTGACGACTGACTCTTCTCTATCTTTCCTTTTACTTCATCACTTTTACCTCCAATTAACGGTATGTCCACCTTTCGTCTTTCTCCACTTCTATCTCTCATTTGTGACTCTCTGAACTTCCCTTTATCCTTTCTGCTTCTTAAAACTTCAGGTTTGCTAGTAGGATCCCGAGAATCGATGAAATTGCTTCGAGTACCAGGCTGACGATATCTATCATTAGTAGCGAAATCATCATGTCCCAAATTTCTCCTGCTGTTCTCGCGACTATCGCTACTCCCTCGGTTCCTGGACCGTCTGATCGTCCTGTCCTTAGGTTGCTCCCCAGCAATCCTCCCGACTGTAAGTTTATTACTGTTCGTCATGTCATGAACTTTATTGAGTTTGAGATCTCTCTCAGAAGGTACAATTTGAACTGGGGATCTTGAAATCGAACCTCGATAAACATTTCCTTTTGCTAGGGAACGCTCTATTGGAAGGTGGTGGTACCCATGCGAGGGTACAAGAGATCGTTGATACTGTTGACTCTCTCCACGAAAAGATCGAGGCTGTCCTCGGTGGTTATAAAGTCGCTGGTTACCAGCCCAAGTTCCCGAAATTCGTGGATTTGACGATGGAGGTTGAGTAGAACCTCCACTATGTATCATCTTATCCCTTCTCTCACTCTTCTCTTTCATCTCTCTAATGACTCTAGGTTCTACCGGTGGTTTTTGACCTATCTTCGAATTACTCACATTCTTAGGTACACCTGAAAATTTTACATTTTGGCTCACGAGAACTTTTCCTTCGGTGGGTTTCTCTGAAGTTCCTTCCACCCACACTTCTCCTTCTGGTACTACTTCTCTCTCTGGTACCACTTCGTTCTCTGTACCACCTGACAGATCTCCTAGATCCTCGAAATCAGAATAATCGTAATCGATGATTTCATCATCATCTAATGTCACGTATACTGAACCAGTGTTTTTCTTCTTCGGTGGTTCTACACGTATCGCTGACATATTCACCGAGTGTACTGGTCCACCTAAAGCTTTCGTAAGTACATCTGCTCTCTGATAGACAGTGCTGACGTATGCTAGTTCAATAACTTTATTACTGACTAGATCTCGAAGAGCATGATGTCGAATATCGATATGTTTTGTCCTCTGGTGAGTACCAGGTTTTCTCGCCAGTGATATCGATCCTTGGTTATCGCAGTTTAATGTAGTAGGATTTAGCTGATCATAGCCTATCTCCCTCAATAATCCTCTCAACCACTGAGCTTCCTTCGCTGCTTCAGCCATCGCGATGTATTCTGCTTCGACTGTCGACGACGATACTGTAGCTTGTCTTTTTGAACTCCAGGTTATCGGTGAGTTGTTCATCATGAATATCCAACCTGTAGTTGATCGTCGTGTGTCTTTACAACCTGCCCAATCGGCATCAACCCATCCTGCTAGATCGCTAGCCTCGCCACCGAGACGAATACCATGTAAACGAGTGGACCGAAGGTAGGTAATTACCATTATCCCTTCTTCCCATACTTTCTTCGTCGGTTTAGTGAGGTACCTAGCAAGGTATGAGGCGGCATATGATATGTCGGGTCGAGTACATGTGGCTAACCACTGTAGACATCCTATTAATTCTTGAAATGGTCGAATTTCACTCTCCACCTCCGACATCGATGGATTTTTCGCAGTAAGGGGTAATGGCGTTTTTCGGTCTCGATGTAAGTCGTTTTCTGGAAACTTCTGAATTATCTTATCGATATATGCTGGTTGGTTTAACCATATTGTCTTTTCTTCTCTGTTCCTTGTTACCTTCATACCTAAGATAGTACTTATCTCCCCCAGGTCGGTTATTATCCACCTTTTACCTAGCCCATCGAAAATTTCCTTCGCTTCTTCCTTCGACTTCGTGGCTAATACCAGATCATCGACATAGGCTAGCAGTATTGCTGCTCCCTTTCCTTCGATTTTCCCTTCTGGTCTGTAGTAAAGACCCCAATCTGATTCGATTCTTGAAAAACCTAGGTGAGATAATCCTTCGCCGAGTTCTATCCACCATGTCCTGCCAGATTGCTTTAAACCGTAAAGAGACTTAACTAACTTCAAGGTATTACATCCAGGCTTCGGTTTTATCCCCTTGGGATACTTCATGTAAATTTCTACATCGAGTTTACCGTTTAAATACGCCCCTTCGACATCGGCCTGACGAATTTCGAGATCTTCGGTGGCCGCTATAGTCAAGAGTATTCGTAACGACCCCGATCTACCGACAGGTGCGAATGTCTCTTCGTAGTCGACACCTGGTACCTGTGAGAATCCTTGAGCTACTAGTCTGGATTTATACTTTAGTAAGTTTCCTTCTGAATCTGTCTTCACTTTGAATACCCATTTACATCCAATGGCTTTACGGCCCGGTGGTAACACCGTTTCCACCCATGTTTCTTTAGATTCGATGTTAGATATCTCTTTCTCCATGGATTCCAGCCACTTCTCACCATCTGGGCCGTTTACTGCTTCTTCAGGAGAGATAGGATCAATGAGAGAAGTATCACTTTCGATACCTGCGATAGAGGCGAGTGAGACTAACTTATTAGGCTCGCGACCAAAGTCTAGGAACGAGTCTGTTAGGCCTGCAAAACGGTGGGGGGGTCGAATAATTCGTCCGTGACGTGTCGTCAGGATCCCCTCATCCCCATCATTTCTTCCTTCCTCATCATTTCTCTCATTTTCGACGATATCGTTCTCATAGATCCAATTTCCTCCCCAAATGCCCTGTCCTCGTCGTCTTTCAGTAGGTTGTGGGCCTGTATTAGGTGAGTTGTCTCTATCGACATCATTTCCTTGTTCATTATCGATATTTTCCTGTTCGCCACTTTCTGAGCGGTCGTCAGGGAAAATTTCTTCGTTGACGACGGGGTCTAGGTCCACTTCGATGGCGTCAAGAGGGGTTTGGATGACATCTGGCGACTCTCTAGTAGCCACCATTCGTCCTGTCGAGCGACGAACGTCTCGTGAGTGTTCGATTCGTCCCGATCCGTCCATTCTAACGATCCAACCGCTCACACCCTCATCCTGACCTAGTATAATGGCTGACGAACCCCTAGGTATCGTGAAGTTCGACTTCAGCCTTATCTCTCTTGGTATCTGAACGAAACATCGTTCACCAAATCTCCACACGCTATCTAAGTTCGTGTCTCTTCCTGTGAGTGATGTCCAGCCTGATTTACCACTGACACCAATCGAGGTTTTCATAATTATAATGGCGGCGTATCTGACAGCATAGGACCAATATTCGTTCGGTAGTCCTGAGTCGAATAACATCGTTGATACCATCCCCTTCAAGGTACGTATCATTCTTTCCGCCACTCCATTTAATTCTGGTGTGTATCTTGGTGTGATGTAGTGGTTGATCCCTGCTGATAGGTAGAATTCCCTCATATCGAGGCTATCGAATTCACCTCCCCCATCAGACCTAATCACCCTCACCCTTTCACCAAGCTGTTTCTCTAATTTCGAGATACACTGTCGAACGATATCTGACGATTCGTTCTTCGTCGTTATCGGTACGGCGAACACAATTCGACTCGCCCTTTCTACACCAACGAAGAAATATCGTTCACCTTTTATCGCCGGACCGAACGGGCCAGCAATATCGACATCCATTCCTACTCCTTCACCATCTCCTTTTAACATTGGTGCTTCTTTATTCTTCGGTAGACGTGTTATCTTGGCCTGCATACAGGCGGGACATTTATCGGTTGTAAAGGGATCGTTCTTGTAAGTGTCCCAGTCCTTCTTCAATAGTCCCTGTCTACCTAGACTCTTTAGTTTATCTACACCTATATGTCCGAGTCGCTGATGCTCAGATTCAAGTGGTGAAGTCGCCTTCGGTGTCGATATCACGATCATCGCGGCAGACATCGCTCTGCCAAATCGTACCGACCATAGTGAGTCATGTTTCCTCAAACCTAGTTTCTCTTTACCTTTACCTATCCATCCACCACTGCTGCTTAGATTCGCCTTCCATCCCCATGAGAGTAACTTCGAGAGGGATAGAAGACTTATCTTCGCTGTGGGGACGTGATGTACATCTTTCAGTACCATTTTCTGTCCTGAATCTAGTTCGAGGTTAATGTCACCTGTTTCCCAAGCCGTCATTGACTTGCCAGATGCTAGTCCGAACACTCTCGGCTCCACTAGTCTTTTAATATTCGTCATTATCGACCTGTGAGGAGTTATGTGGTGAGTAGCACCACTGTCCACTACCCAGGTGGGGATTACACGAGTGTGGCTTACATCATTAGACTCTGTAGCTAATCCCACCCACTCATTATCCTTATCCTCAACCCACGGGTTTTCAATTTCTTCGGGCCATACGATATTACTCGTGTACCCTTCGTCATCATCGAACCACGATTCTGTCGACATGGCCATCCCGGCCCACGCCTCATGTTCACCATCCAATGACGAATACATCAAGGAGGTTTTGGAGTTATCCTTGGACTGGTTCTCATCCTTCGAGACCGTATGTCCTTTCTTATTATTCTTATTATTATTATTATTCCTCCATTTCTTTTTACCTCCATCCTTTCCATCTGCGTTTTCCTTCCTGTTCGTATCCTCTCTTTTAGGTTTACGACAGTACTTCGCTAGATGTCCTACAGTGTCACAGTTATAACACTTTCTGGTTTCTTTTCTGGGCTGACCATCAGAGATATTATCTCGGTTCACCCTCATTCCTTTATTTCCTTCGACGAACATCGCGAATCCCTTCCTATTGGTTCTACCAACAGGGCGCGCTTTACGTCTCGCCGTTTCTTTATTGAAGATCGATAAGACCTTTTCCCAAGTTCTTTCCTCTGCTATGAGGGATGTTACTTCGATCTGAATGATCCTGTAGGATGGTGCTAGAATGGTATTGAGGAATAACCCAGCTCGTTCCTGTGAGTCAAACTTCAACCCTACCAATCTCGCTTCGGACATCGTCTTCGAGAAATCCTCTACATGCTTGGCCATTTCTTCGGCCGTCGCATCGTCCCTTAAGTCATAGCTAAACAACGCTTGACGGACATTCCTTTGATTCTCGATCGTCGCTGTTACATGCAGGGCTATGCAGTAGTCCCACATTTCTTTAGCTGACATCTTCTCAGATATATCAAGCATCACGGCATCCGACACTGTTCCCTTGATCATCCCCTGCGCTTTATTCTCCCTCGCTTGCCACTTTTCCCATTCCTTCCACTCTTCTCCAGTAATCCTTCTACCAGCCACTTGCCCTTCGACGGGCGTGGTAGGAGGTACTGATCCCGCCCTCTCAGCTGCCGATCTAACCCCTACGCGACCAGGTTCGGTATCATTACCTGTGACGATATTCCACACGTCACCTATCTGTAGATACACCTCGATCGACTTCCTCCACGGAGCATACGATGCTGGATCGTGGGATAACTTTGGGTGGTTCTCAAGAGAGATCTTAGACGACACAGAGGTCATTATGAGGAGAGTAGAAATGGGAACTTGCCTTTGTTATGTTATACACAGAGGTATGTGGTCTTCCGACTGTTAATCTGTTAACGCTTATAATTAGATGATAATACAGAGGGGAAAAAGAGCATGCATCAATTCTACATGTCTCTATACTTATCACATTCCACTCACACGCATAAAACCAGAGACGATCGAATAAAGTTCAGAGGATAAGTTGAACGGAGAAATATTCGACGGAAGGGGTAATTCTAACGGCGGTTCGGCCGTCCCGGCCCGATTCTATCGGCTAACACTCCATTGGGTCCGAATTTGCGGTGGGAGGTACCCAAAAGGAAACAGAATCCAAGATATATGGGAACAGACGATGTAAGGATGTGGGAACCACAGATGATATTAAGGGGACAAGAACTGACTTGCAAGTGGTCGAAGAGATCACCACGTCAGTTCCGGGCGGCTCAGAGACAACCGTGACGACTACTGTCCAAGAGTCCCCATGGTTAACTCCCTCTCCCACAAACAGCCAGGCCAATAGTGCCGGAGGTGGACCAAAACTTTTTGGCTTCGAAGTTGGACACCGCGGCCATGAGCTTTGAATCCTCATCAAGCATTCATACTTGTAGTGTTTGCATAGATACATACATATGTGTCAGTGGTATCTTAGGAATCTATGAAGTTTATATGTGACCGTTAGACTGCACCGATAGTATAAAGACCCTCCCCTCTCTCGGTGTACTTGACACACTCTCCACAACCTGCTCAAATCTAGTGAAGTTGATATCCAACTCAATTCCCGATATCTCGTATCGATTGAGCAGTCACTATTGATGCGCACGGATTCCGTTTTCTCCGGAGTCTAAAACGTCGTTGTCATGTAGCAAAGGTACAACCTAACTACCTTTCAAAGGTATCTCTTCTATATATCCTTTGAAACAACCTTATCAAGCCACTTGAATCCCTTCCTCATCCATTACCAAAGGGCTATTCCTTCCTATTCTCACTAAAAAAAATTACTAATCTATCACAGACTCCCTCCTTCATCAGCTTACCTGTATATCCATATCCTTCACGTCTTTCCGCTTTTTCATCCCTTAGAAAGTCATCTGTCAAAGGGATTTCTCCTCCATCTTCTTCGAATCATGTCAATTTTTCTTTCTCACAAATCAATCTACGTCTTCATCTCATTCATTTCATCTCCAAGTAACTCTACGAAATGTCCTCTACAACTACAGCTACCGTATTCCCTCGAGGGGAAAATGAAGAGAAATATCAACTTCACACGAATATTCAACCTAAACCGATTTCTCCCATTACTTATCCTGACTCATCATCATCTTCCGACCTGAACGGAATATCATCCCCGATTTCTCAGGGAAACGAAGAATCTAATCAAGATGCTCATCCATGTACCATAATCGTTCAAAGACCTATTTCCACTTGGTCCGATTCTACTTCTTCTCCAATTACACATCATCATCAAATATCTCCTCAAACACCAGATACTCCTATGTCTAAATCAAACAATAGCCAAAAGAAGTTTCGTTGGAAATTATCTACTTTATTATCTTCTGAAAAAGAAAGTATGACACCTACACCTCCTAATACTGCCACTATGGGGGATGGAGGGAATAAGAAGATTAGGATCGAATTACCTTTAACACCTTTACAAACACCTAGATCTCCCTTACGTAGTCCGCTATCTTGGTTCAAAAGAGCTTCACTCAGTCCTCTCAGTCCTAAAGAAGGGAAAGCAGATTCGATCTCAGTGGGGCTATCTTCTCCCGGACTCCGTAAGAGTAAAAGTAAGAATGAGAGGGTTTGGGTGGTTCAGTTGGATAAAAAGGAAGGAGCTTTAGTGTTCAGTCAAGATGTTGAAAAACCAAAGTCTCCAGCAAGGATTAATTCTCCGATTCATAGTTCTAGAAGTGTGAAGTTTTCATTGGAAGAAGGACAAATAGGACAGCGATCGCCTATTAGTCCGTCGGGAGAATCGAGTCATTCAAGCAGTGGGGAAAGTGAGATATGGAAGGTGGTTTGTCCTAGCGCGAACGAGGAAAAGGTCATTCTTCTTCTCAAAGGTGAACAAGGAGTGGTGGCACGGTTAGAGGAAGGTGTTGATGGTGCATATGTGCTTCTGTACCCCAAGCCAGTGGTACAGGAGAATGATGTAGTTGAGGAGGAGAAAAGTACAGAAAAAGTGATGTTGAGTTTGAAAGAAGGGCCAAGTGAAGATGGGTGAGTTTTCAATATTACCTCACCCTGAATATCACCCTATCCCAGTAACTCATGATACTTTCCGAAGAAATGAGCATCTGACATTGCCGGGGATCTGGGATCTGTGTGGGGACAAGGAGGGAGAAACTGATGATTAGGATCCGGATTCATACCTCCTTCGGTACATACTCATGGACTTCTTCTCCCGGTTTGGCAATATGTCATTCTCCCTCCCGACAGGAAACTGCGAGATTAGCTTTCCGTCCTTTTGGCAAGACAAGACTTACAATTCAATCGGATGATAACGTAGCTCTGTTAATCTTGACTGCTGCTAAAGTGAGTCATTTTGACCTCTACAATGCACAAGACCACATGGAACTTCACATTGAGAGAGAATTTAGGCTGACGGAAAGATATGGTTTCATCGTGAGAGTCGAAAAGATTTTCGTCTTTCTTGATACTGTATTGCGCCTTGGGTATGTTTCTGGCTCGGTCTCATCGGTGTGTAGTCAGGTCGTAAGAATTATCTCTATACCCTGGGTTATTGATGCATGTGATGCAATTTAATGAATTGAATCTCAGAAACACCCACTCTGTTAGGAGATCAGGTCAGGGATGAGAAGAATCGTATCATTATGAAGAATGTATGTGAGATATTACGGTAATCACACCACACTTGTCGAAGAACCAGCCCTCGACACTCGATTTCTCAATTCTCCAACCCATGTCTCCACTATGCCTGTTCCACCCGTCACATGTGTCGCTCCATGAACTCTGATCCCATGCCCAGAGCCATTGAGACCTACGGCAGGGATCGATAAAACCCCTCTGAGATCAGAAACGGATGATCTAAAAAAAGTTCGTTTCTTGTTCCCTGCAGTCCGAGCCCCACAAGGATCTTCATCCTCTTCATCTTGCTCATCCGCCGTCTGAACTTTCCGTCTGGTACGGACAACCATTGTGTTCCTGGAGATCCCGTTGATGATGCCTTGTCGAAGGCTTTGGTCGGCTTTAGCATAGGAGTCATCTTCAGAGTCGGACTCTGATGGAGGTATGTACGTGCCATTCAGATCGCGTTTACGTTTCAGCTCTAGAGATCAGCATCATGATACACGGACTGATGAGACCTGATGGTTGCCGAGGATGAAGATGATGGTGAAAGTATGCAAAGGGAGCGAATGTGTTAGGATAGATACGCACTTTTGACTGTCGCCTCAATCTCATCTTCCGGATCTGAAAGCTCGTCTTTCTTCAGTCCGAGGACATCCCCCACACCACGACTGGATCGACTTTTCATCTGAGCAGCCGGAGCGTGGGGTAGAGATCTCAGATGCTCAATCACAGATTTCCTAGACGTTAGACTGCGAAGAATCGTGACGCACTCAGAGAGCTTACTTGATATTGTCCAGGTAGGTGGTAGGATTGTGATCGTCTGTATTATTCGGCAGAACCTCAAGTTTGTACCTCGGTCCGTAATACTCCATGCTACTAATCAGTAATTGCCCTGCCACATGAGGTGTGTATGAAGGGAAAACCCCACTATTGATTGTACGGCAAGTCTAGAGGAAGCTCACGACCGCACATGACGGCCGTTTCGTTGGTCCATGCTCGTGCGACATTCTTCCTGTCTTATCAGCCCCCATGACAGGAATGGAAGAATGAGCGGACTGACGTTGTGTACCCACCACCGCCAAGCATGATAGTGGGGATATTGAAGCTCTTCACAAAACGGGCGCACTCAGCATGACCTGAACATCAAATTCGATTCCAAACACGGTCATGTGACTCACCGTCCAATGTTAGATTGAATCCACCGAGCTTGTCACCAGACAGGGAATCCGCACCCATCTGCAAAACCACCGCACCGGGTCGGAACCAATCGATGATGTGCTGTATGATCTGTCTGTTCAGCTCGTCCTCAACTGACTTGAACGAAAGAGCTGACCGGTTTGAAGATGTAATGGAATGATTCGTTCGTGATACCGTCTCTCAAAGGGACATTGACTGCATATCCTTTCCCGCGACCCATTCCAACATCCTATAGTCATCAGTTGAGCACGGAAGCACAAACATAGCTACTAACTCTGACATCTCCCGTTCCTGGAAAAAACTCTCCAAATCGATGAAAACTAGCGGTCATGACACGGTCGGTGGTGTAGAATGCTTCTTCGACCCCATCGCCATGATGTACGTCTACGTCGATATACAGCACTCGCGTGTGTATACGAAGCAGTTCCAAGATGGCGAGTACACTTGAGCGTCAGCGGGTGAGATGCAAGTACCCAAAACCTGACTCACATGTCGTTCACATAACAGAATCCACTTGCTTCGTTCTTCTTGGCGTGATGAAGTCCTCCGGCCCAATTGATGGCAATATCTGCGTGGCCAGAATTGATTCGTTCAGCAGCACCTATGACTCAGTCTCAATTCCACGCAGCCTGTAAAAGCTCACTGATAGAACCTCCGGCCGAGATGGTGCAAAATTCGAAAACCCCTTCGAAAGGTGGACAATCTTCCCCTATTAGGCCTACAAGTGAGCTTCATGATGATGGATGAGATTGTTGACTTACATCTTGTACCCCCGCCAGTCAAAATCTCGGCATTGTCCGGATTGACCATTTCCAACAGCTCGATGTACTCGTCTGTATGAAACCTTGTCATCTCTTTCTTTGGTGGCACGTCGAGGTTTGAAACACTGCATAGCCCTTTCACCCTGTCCCCCCAGAGCTCGATGATATTTCACCACACTCCCGTCCGTATCACCATTCATGAGCTGCCCGAGCTCATCGTTGACACTTCCAGATCCTCATGTTCGCACCTTCCTCCTGGATAGACCATAAGAACGATAGATTATGCGCATCCGAATCCTATGGGGTTCATGGGATGAC